ATTGTTGTATTTGTAGTTGTTTTTTTTATTTTTAGTGTTCACACTTTTGATGGAATGAATTTCAAGTCACTCAAGTTGACATCATATAAATGGTCAAACTGAAATTTTCGTGTGTGTGTTTTTTCTTTTTTTTATTAAACACACTTCCAGATATGCTCCCCTATGGAGAAAGACACCTTATAATGTTGGCTGCTTTTCTTTTATTACAACAGCCTTCAAAATTATTTTATTTATTTGTTATATGTTCATCTATATGTGTGTGAATTGCACTAAATTTATGACATGTTAACCTACAAGATAGTGTGGTGCATGTGTTGCCAATGTTATTTGATGATTGTTAGTGTTAGAGATACAAGAATTTATAAACAACATTATTTTTATGTAGGTTAGATTTTTGAGGCAATGATTTATTTCTAAGAATTTTTTATAACATAATAAATCTAAGGTATTTGCTATAATCTATATGTTTTATACATTGGAAGTTTATAATTTTAATAGCCTTTACGTCTTTAAAATTAGGATGTATCTGGTTACGATAAGACAATTTAATGGAGTTTTTATTTTTGTTTATATCAAATTTGTTGCTTATATTATTTTTCTAAATTTCTTTAAAGCTAATCTTATTTCTTCATCGACAAAATGTTTTGGGAAAATATTGTTAATAAATGTTTGTTTCATGTTTCTCTATAAAACAATGTGTTCATAGAGGAAATCATTTTAGCACAATAACTATGAATATAACATGTGGTAACCAAAAGTTTTGGTAATCTGACCACTTTTTAAAAAAAAATTGCATATTCAAAGTAGTCCCTTCTGGCAAGAACATGTGGCATTCAGATTTCCTGAATATTTAAGTAGCATATCACACACACACACACACACACACACACACACATACACATATATATATATAGATAGATAGATAGATAGATAGATATAGATATAGATATAAATGCATGTTTCATTAAAAATGACAGACAAGGTACTACGGTTATGCTTTTTATTTAATTTGTCTTGTGTTCGAACAAGAGCTTTCTTTCCTGGACAAAGAGTGTGTAAGAATTGTCCAAATGCTTTATATTTCCGAGCGCTTTGGGCTATACCTTTAGCCATTATCAACGATGATTCAATTTTTCTGCTTAATTGAGTGTGTGCGGTCTGTGTATGTCTTAGTGTGTGGTAGGGATGTTTTTAATTTCCAAATGCAGTTAGCACATTGTGGCTTTGTTCATAGTTAATATTGTAAATTGTTAAGAATTGGCTTTTTCTTTTTTTTCTACCTTGTCTGTCATTTTTAATGAAACATGCATAAAAGAAGGATTGCTGCCTAAATATACAACTATATATATATATATATATATATACATATATATTATTATTATTTTTATTATTAGGCTTTTCCAGCATTTTTTCATTTTGTAGGAGTAAGGGATTAAAAGATTTTCCATGAATTTTATTGTCCTAAGCACTTTCGTCCTCTTCTATAGTTATTTACAAGGATATTTTGTCTCTCGTGTTGTTATTTTTTCCTCATGTTTTGTCTGTTACTTTGTAATTTGTTTTTGTGTTTTTTCTGAATAAGACTGTACAATCAGCCTTCACATGTTGCATTCGATTGGAATTCATGTGAGCATCCTTCCTTCTTTAAAAAAACTTTTAACACTCCATATTCACTTAAATAATACAACTTTAGTAGTAATAGAGAAATGTTTGATATACAGGACCTCTTTAATCATGAGATGTTTCTGATAATATGAGTTATATAGAGTTCTTGGGTTTTTGATCAGAATTTTTCTTAAGGGTTCTTGTAAATTAAACGTAAGAATTCTATATAAATCACATTATATATTAATTATACATATATATATATATATATATATATATATATATATATATAAATGTATATCTTTCTCTCTCTCTCTCTATATATATATATATATAGTATAAATTTTACATTTTGGGATCATTTTAAAAACATGACAAAAAATAAACAGTTTGAGCAGCTCATAATAAACTACACCCAACTGATCCCACTAAGTGCAGAGCAGATATTTGGATTTGCCACCAATTTTGATGCATGGTTGGTCATACCCCATGATCTTCTATGCTTAGGGTTATTGAAGTGTATACACTTTTCATCACCAATCATGATATGATGCAAAAAACCTTTCCTTTTCTGACGTTGAAGCAGCTGTTCACACATGACGAGACACCATTTGTCCTTGCTTTTGAATCATTGCTAATGATTTCAAACATTTCAAAACAGTTGTGTAATCAACTCTTAATGATTCTACAAGTTCAGCTTGTGCCTGACAGGATACTTCATGAAGTAATGCCTTTAATTCTTAATCCTTTGCATGTTATTTCCAACAGAGCATGGTTGGCATAAGTCTCAATAAGAATTCTGTGCGCTTCAGCTGCAGATTTCTTTTGGATAAAGTAGTGCAGGAAAATTTCCTGCAAATACACCTTCTTTGGCATGAAATCCAACATGTTTAATGCTATGAAAGTTGTTTACATTTTGGCAAAATGACATTACACTGAATTTAAAGATTGTTTATAGTACTTACTTATAGAGGCATTACCATCTGAAACTACACATACACAGTTCTAGTAATGCCATCTGTTGGAAAACAGGGAGAACTTATTCAAGGTATATATATATATATATATATATATATATATATATATATATGATATAGACTCCTTTTACCATATAATATAAGGTATTAAGGTATTATATCTATCTATCTATATATATATATATATATATATATATATAAATGATATTGATTCCTTTTACCATATAATATAACATACCTTAAGACTATATTTGATCACCTACATGCACATATATGTTTATCTACCTATCTAACAACAAAATACTCCTTTAGAGTTACCGTGTGCCTTGTGATAACTATCTGGGTTAGGTCTATCATTGCTCAGCCAGTCATTTTGGAGAGACAGCTTTGTCTTGGTAGGTTTTTTTCAGTTCTGTCATACTCATTCCATTTTCAGATAGTGGATATAATACTACTCCATAAGATGTTCTAAACTTTTTATAAGCTAACCCTGTTTTAGATTTCTACCCATTTATATCCCTGACCTGGAGAATTTTTGGTCTTCATCATGCTGTATTTTTTAATTCTTTTTTTAATCATATAACCCCATGCAAGAAAGGAAAGCCTTGATGATGGCTAAAAGTATAGCTGAAAGTACTTGTGAAACATTCGGACAATTTTTATACAATTTATGTGCTGAAAAGAAAAAATATATACAAACATATGAGAAATATTATATAAAAAAACTCAACCCCTGTACCTTGTCAGTCATTTTCAAGAGAGGGATTGCTTCCCAAATACATAATATATATATATATATATATATATATATATATATATATATATATATATATATGAAGGAATTTACTCTTAAGGTGTGCTATATTTATGGGATAAAGTGCTCAATATCAGAGATATGAAACAGCCAGTCGCCTCTGAGTGTTGACAAGTAATGTTCACTTTTATTTATATATATATATATATATATATATATATATATATGTATATATAAGAATATTTGAGCATAAGTGATTGTAATGAATTTGAATTCAAACTCCTGCTACAATGAATTCTCATCCTTAACATTCTGTCTATAGAAAATAAAAAAAAACAACATTGCCATCACTATAGATACACATATATAAAAATCTACATATTCAGTTAAAAAACAAAAAATATCCTTGATAATGACTCATAGAATAGTTGGAAGCACTCACTTATATAGAACATTGAGACGGTTTTTACACATTTTATGTCCTGAAAAGAAAATATTTATATGACAGCAAAAATTTGACTGAAAAGCTTAATCAGGGCACCTTGTCAGTTGTCTTTAATAAAACATGTATAAAAGAGGGATTGCTACCAAAATACACCATATATATATATGTGTGAGCTGGTGTATATATATATATATATATATATATATATATATATGAAGTAAAGTTTGATGATCCGCAGTCCTTTAAAAGGGCTGTGGTGAAATAATTTATTACATGGAACGTTAAAGTGGTCTGTTTTTATTTAAATTATTTTCTCTGGATTTACATTGAGCTCTCTGGATTTTTATCCTCCTTGGGTGTACCCATACAGATTACCTAGTTTTTCATAAACTAAATATATATATATATATATATATATATTTAGTTTATTTTATTGGACTAGAGGGATCAATCCCAGCATGTCGCACCTTTGGAAAGTACCTGAAAACCATACCACAGGTTGACCCAAGCCTTATGAGTAAAATTGGGGTCAGGCGGGACACTTGGAGGTTGTCGATAGCTGTGCTAGCATGAAGTCACAAGTTATTGTGGCTGAGGGCTTGAGTGTGCTGGCCTTGTTCAAATTCTTGATGGTGCTAGATTACACGCTCTTTACCAGAAACTATAACTAAGGTCTGTTCAACATAGTTGCAGTATAAACCACAGGTGGACTCTGTGGATGTTGAATAAGCACAAATGCGCCTGAGCAAGCACCTGCAATAGGGATTGGCTAGCCACCCCAGTAGACAGGTATCCTCAAATACTGGCTATACATACATATATATATATATATATATATATATATATATATATATATATATATATATATATAATCATAAATTCAATAAATATTCAATATTCACTAAATCTTATAGATAAGCATTCTATATGAAAAGCATTCTTAATATCAATAAGTTGATAGAACAATTGTAAAAACAGATAAAAAAACCCCAAATAACTTTAGCTCATAACTAAAACTTTCACATTGAGAAGCAATTTTCGGGCAATTGAACAGGCATAATGATACCTCCCCCACACACACGACACACACATACACAATACAAATATACACAGGACACATATGTGTGCATGTGTCTCTTTTCAGTTGGCTTCATCTCAACTTTGTAGTTTTTTTTATTGTCTCTTGATGAAATGTGTTATACTTCATACTATTTGCTTATTAATTGATATATATGGAGAGAGAGAAAGAGGATAGATAGTGAAAATAGAGAGGGGTCAAGAAGGGATGACGAAAGAAAAAGGTATCAAGTAGGGGGTGTAGAGAGAGGGATATATAGAAATTGAGTGAAAGTAATAGAGTATAGAGAGAAAGAGTGCTGATCAAAATGTTTGCTTGAAATAAGATATTCTTATTTTTGACATTAATTTATAGTACAATATATTGATTATGTTATTCTTCTATATAGTAAGATATAGAATGAGAGAGAGAGAGAGTAAGATGAACAATATGAGATAGATATGAACAGAATGAGGTATGTAAATAATGAACAGGATAAGCTAGATAGATAGATAGATATGAATAGAATGAGAAAGATAGATAGATTTGAATAGTCTGTGATAGATAGATAGATATGAACAGAATGAGAAAGATCAATTTGAATAGTCTGTGATATATATATATATAGATAGATTGATAGATAGATAGATATGAAACAATGAGATAGATATGAATAGAATGAGATAGATAATGAACAAACTAAAATATACAGATAGAGAGGTAAATAGATAGATAATGAACAGGCTGAGATAGAGAGATAAATAAATAATGAACAGGATGAGATAGATAGATAAAGGAACAGGCTGAGATCGACAGCTAGATATGAACATAATGAGATAGAAATGGACAAGCTGTAATATATATGAACTGATATATATATATATATATAAAATAGATATGAAAAGACATGTTAACTAAACATATACCATTTGATATAAGCAGAATATATATATATATATATATATATATATATATATATATATATATATATATATATATATATATATATATATATGCCTATTGCTTAGTGGTGAATAGAAAGAGAGAATATTGTCCACAGAGAAACAGGTAAGTATTTAATAAGAGAAATCTATCAAGAACAAACTTGATAGCAAACACAAATATTTAATATTTTATATTAGTCTGAAGGGTTTGCTATTAATTCAAATAGATATAGAAGCTGTTAATTCTCATTCCAGGTGCTAATATGATGTAAAACACAGTTCATCAAGTGCTTGGCTCATCTAGTGAGTAATAATATAATATAAATATAATATAATATATTTGAAGAAATAATATAATAAAAATATTCACTTTTTTAGTCATGTCACATGTACATCTGAACATACTGAATTTTTGACTAAATATCACATTTATAGTTGAAAATGCTGTTTTGTTACATGAAAATAAAACAAATATGACCTTGAATAATAATAAAAAAAAAACTTGAATATTTCCTTGGTTCCTTGAGGCTGAATTTCACTTGCAGGCATCCACCGAATTCTAGAAAAACTCTTATAAATTCTTACAAATTTTATCTGGAAAATTCATTATTTAACCGTAGTCGGGATCATCAAGCCAATGTGAATGATCCTTTTGTTAGCTGTAAAGTATGCACTAAGCTAGGGCTACATACAGATTTGAATTCAGAGTTACTTTCTCCTGGACTGGTTGCCACCCAAGGCTATAGAACCCAGTCTGTCCTACTATTTATCCATTGATGGTGGGGCAGAGACAAAGAGGATTCATACCTTTCCAAGGATATTAGCATGTAAGTGTATGTAATGGATCAGACTGGAATTCAAACTCGGATCTCTGATCCCTCAATTCTAGCCGCTATCCATTACTCCAATGGGCCTCCTGGAAAATTAGGGGTTCACTTTTGAAGCTGATGCATTATCAGTGTCAGGAAGTGAGCATTAGTATATTTATGATATACCAACACAATAATAACAGATAGAACAGAATAGCTAATTATTTTATAATGTAATTCTATAATTAATAATTATTCTATAATTATTCTATAATACTATTATATTAATAACAGATAGAACAGAATAACTAAAAGAAACAAATGACAAACATACTTTGTTCTCAAAGAGATTTTTTATACCGATATATTTTTTTATTTATTTATTTAAACATTATTTTTAATAGATAGCCATATTTGAGTAGATTATCTGTTTTTATTTATTTATTAAACAGTATATTTATTTATTTACATCTACTGATCAGGAGATCCTATGTGACCAAGTGGTCCAAGGCACATCAGATCTAATGATGGTTTCCCCTAGAAGAAACAAGTTCAAATCCTGCTAAAGAACACATATTTTCCAACAAGGTTTATCAAATATTCAGGCCAGTAGATGTAAATAAATAAATATACTGTTTAATAAATAAATAAAAACAAAGCATCTCCTCAAGTATGAGTATACATTAAAAATAACATTTAAACAAATGATTATATAACGGATTTAATACATTTCCTATAAAATACTGATATATACATACTCATCACTAATTTGTCCAGAGGTCAAGTGACAACATGTCTCTTAAATGCTCTAGTACTGTTCTTAGTATTTTGTTTACAGTAATGTTATCCTCTAAAAGAGTTCAAGTTTTGCTATAATTTCTATTTCTTCCAGCCTTTTCCATAGGCCATCCAAGACCATTCTCTGCACTCTGATAATGACTGGCCTATGTGAGAGGTTAAGTGACAGCATGTCTCTTAAATTCTCTAGTACTGTTCTTAGCCACTCAAGACTATTCTTTGCACCCCATAAATGACTGGCACAATTACCAGGTTTTACTTCTTCCTTAGTTTCTTGGCAAAGGTGAGATACCTACTCATTTTTTTTTCACTTCCTTTCAAATAGATAACCATGGTGAAACAAGTTCCATTCAAGCAGCTTCTTCTCATGAACCATTGCTTTGTGAAACCAATTCCCAAAAGGATGATTCCCCAATCACTACAATCTTAACCAGTTCAAATCTAGTGTTAACCAATATCTTCCTTACATATCATCTTAATGTGTGCTTCTTACTCTGTAACTCTCTACCTTATGTCATTCTTGGACTTTTTATAGGTTGAACAAGACTTTAAAAAAGAATTTTTCTATGTACCTTTGCTGTTTTCAACAATACCATCATCTGGATAGTTCCTACACTTCTGCTGATTTCCAGTTATTCCAGTCTCTTTTTCACATAGGCATCAGCATCATTCCTAGTGCTCTGATAATAAATGGTATAACTGTCATTTTCATGTTTCATATCTCATGTATGCTGCCTGCAACAGTGATAGCTAGCCACCCTAGTAGGCAGGTCTACTCAGAAACAAGCAGTCTGCTATACTGATATAAAATCTACATTTTCTACTACTTGTAGGGTTTTGATTGCTGAATTTTGTTTCTGTTAAATCAAAAATGTGAGCAGTAAATATGAAAGTCTGGATGTCTGTGCCAACATGGTGGAAATCTTGAGAAAGATAACTATGCTGCCAAGAAATGTATTTGAATTAATCAAATGAACTGTCAGGTCAGTCAAGAGAAACTGGGTTTGTTCAGATTAAAACAGGAATGTGTGCACATAAAGTGAGGTGTTGGTGAAATTAGGGGGTTTAAGTGGATAAGAATTAACCATCACAAGTTTGTTGATTGATTTATTGAAGATCAATAAAAAGCTTTTTAACTTTTGACATTGATGCTTGTTTGAGAGTATTAGAAAATATTCACCGAACATCAATTAGGAATTTGGGCTTTTTGTCTGGACTTTTTGAGTAATTGTCAAGTTCCTGATTATATAGGTTCTTTGGGTCATAGAATTGTCTGAGCAACTGATTCATGTAACATTCTCTGTCTTTGATTATTTTGATGCAATTACATTGGGCTACCCCACCCAACAACAAAAAAAAAAAACAAAAAAAATGTTTTTTATCGGTTACTTAAACAACTGATACTGTATTCAACTAAACAGAATATAATGACTCTGAATCAGTATTTAGAATTGTTCTCGCCCATCGAATTTTTATGATATCAGAAGCAAATGTTATATTAATGGTATCATCTTGTAATGCTTTGTAAAAAAAGGTTTCAAGAAGAGACACAACATCTGTCACCGGCTGACCAGTGATTCGCATGACTTATATGAGACAGGTTTTTGCTGCAGTGGAAGTGATATCAAATTTACAGCACTTTCTCCTTTCCAGAATCTGCAGATTGTTTCAGTAATAGTTGTCACCTGAGCATTTCAGTGAAGGAATGCTTTGTAACAGCCTCCATTGCACATGTAAAATATATAATTATATATATATTGTTATACAGGAGGAAAATGAGTAACTACCAACACCGACGTTCGAACGTGACAGTCTACACTTATTATTATAAGATTTCCACCAGGTGTATAAATAGCAGTGTCAGGCTACTGACTGGAGTGACTATTGAGTGATTATAGAGTGGAATTATCCAGTCGAATTAGTGTGAATTGTTGTGTGTCAATGATTTGAGTTTTGATTTAGTATTTACCTGACATTATGCCAAGCCATGCTACTAACAAGGTATTCACTGAAATGGTTAATTTTTAGTTAAATTTTACTTCTTTTTCTTTTTAAGTATTTAACTATGGTTTTAATTAAATACTGTTTTATCTTAGTGTTGAAGTCTTGAGTTATACAGGATGCAAGTACTATTTCAGGACATTTTTAGTATGTTAAATAAACAGCAATATCTTAGCAAACAATGTATATTTAATTCAAATTGACACAAATATCTTTCATGATACTTCTTTATCTAATTATTCTATGAAACCACCTTTGGCTTTAATGACTGCTTCTATTCGGGCTCAAAACCATCCACAAGCTGCAATTAAGTGGTCCCTATTCATTTTGGACATCACCTGGACAATAGTAGCCTTCAGTGCAGCTATGGTATTATGGGGATGTTGATTAGTGTCCCTTTCAATGATGCTCCACACATAATAGTCCGTAAAATTTAAATCTGACAAGTTGGTGGGGGGGGCACATGTTGGGTTTCACATGATTGTAAAAATTCTCTGATAACCAATCCTGGGTTACAATGGCTTTGTGAGAAGGTGCATAGTCTTGTTGAAAGACATATGGCCTTCCATTGCATACTTTATTTATCCAGGGCTTAACAACTGTTTTAAGAACATTAATGTATCCAGCAGCTTTGACCGTAAGACCCAGTGGGAAAATGTAAGGTGGCATGACATGACCTTCACTGCTCACAACTCCTAAAACCATCACAGTAGCCAGATATTTGGCGTGCATCACCCTGGGTACTTCAGAAGGAGATGCACATAGCCACAAGTTATTCCGTATGTTTGTTTTCTGATATTGGTCAAAGTTTTTTCGTCAGAGAAAAGCCAAAGCATGCCATGTTTGTGGGGATTTTTCATTTTGTTCAGCAACCTTTTTGAATGCATGAGACAGTTTTCCTGTGTCTTCACTGATATGAATTGGCCTTTCCTCATTACATATAACTTATATTAAATGCTCTGATGTACCACGGTTCTGATAGTCTACTCTGATACCTAGACTTCTTTGGCTACGGACCTCATTGATCTTCTGGGGTTCTCATCAATGATGTTCTGAACATTCCGTATAAATTCTGGTGTTCTCACAGTATCAGAGCACTGTGAATGCTTTTTTCTTTTTGCTATAGGGGAAATATTGTCATCACATCACTCTAGCTCCAACTGAACCTTATGAACAAATGATCTGGCAACATGTAAAAATTACTAATTTTTAAATCGCTATGTTTTGCAGCTAAAACAACAATGACTGCATATTTTTCATTTCTTGGGTTAACATCTTCATCTGACTGGGTTATCTGAAATAAAAAAAATAATATTATAAATGATTTGAGTGTGTAGTGAACTTAAAACAATATGTCCTCAAGTAGCACTTGCACCCTGTACTTAATTAACAGCCACTGTACATCACAAAAATAATGAAGGAATCGTAATATATTTTTATAGCAAAGAATTTTCTGACAGTCTGGTCTTTGGAAGGTGCTGGTTATACATCCTCATGTATATATTGTTAAAAAAGCACTTCAGCACTAATCTGATGATGTAGACTAAGGATGTATATACATATATTTTACGGCAAAAAAACAAAAATTACCTCAACATAGGGATAGTCCATTAGGATCCACCTGGATTATATCCCAACAGATTGATTACCTGTAATATATATATATATATATATATATATTTGTATACACACATATTATATGTGTGTGTGTGTGTGTGTGTGTGTGTGTATATATATATATATATATATATATATATATATATATACATATATATATATATATGTATATATATGTAAAAATACATTATATGTTTATATACACATACATTAAATATATATGTATATATATATTATACATAAAAATACATTATATATTTATATATATATACATTATATATATATATAAATATATATATATATATATATATATATATATATATA